TTTGCAAGGTGCAATGATTGAAGCTTTGGAAATAGGTGAACTCCTCGGAGTAGAACCTCTGATAAGAGAGCAAGCAACGAAAGAAGCAATCCTAACAAGACTACAACATGGTGTGTCTGTCATCCACTTTGCGGCTCACGGTAGTGCAAAAAACGGAGAGATTTTTCTTGCACCTTCACAACCTTTAACAGACAACACCATACCAGAGGAGAAGGACTACATGTTGACAATGAAAGAAGTACAAGAGAGTGGAAGTCGTGCTCAACTCGTTGTACTGAGCTGCTGTCACAGTGGTCGAGGAGAGATCAAGTCAGAGGGAATCGTGGGAATGTCTCGAGCATTTCTTGCTGCAGGAGCCCGTGCTGTTGTCGCGTCATTGTGGGCAATTGCTGACCAAGCTACTAGGTTCTTTATGGTGAAATTCTATTCACATCTAAAGAAAGGAGAGAGTGCTGGTAGGAGCCTACAGCAAGCAATGAAGGAGATGAGGGAAACAGAGATGTACAAGGAACCAAAGTACTGGGCTGCCTTCTTCCTCATTGGAGATGACGTCACCATTTCTGGGTAGGAACCCACATATTGCATTATTCTAGTTACAAAATCAGATTTTTTTTCCATTTGAAAATGTTCTAAATTCGAAGTTGCGTATCCAGGCGTTCCTAGACGCTGCAAGAGAGTTCGCTCTCTTCCCTCGAGGGTCTAGGAACGCGTGGCTACGCAGTTTTTCACCTGTGCGATATATTTTAAGTTTTCAGTGTATATTGGATAACGCTTTTGTGATTCAGATTTACCGATTACAAGGAAGGTGCGCAAAAAGAAGACAGCAATACTATCGAGCGAGATGAAGGTCACGTTGAGGCCGAACAAAGTAAACAGGACAGCGTAATAGATGATTCAGTTGAGACAGTAATCCACCATTAAATTGAAACCCAAGGCCTCCAATACCCGTGGAGTGCCGGGGAAATAATAAATTATACCCGAGATTTAACACTGTTTTAACAAAACAATTAAAGGGAATGCGGTACAATTAACGTCGAGATCGTATCGTAATAGATTCAGTTTGAGACGTAGTAATGCGTCAATCAGCCATGAATCCTAAATCCAGGGTAGGGGTGGGTAATTTACACATTATAGTCGAGGATTTAAGGGAGAAGAATTAACTCTAAATCAAACGAAATGATGTATTGGCAAATGACTGTTGAAATGTTAATTACCCTGTTGCTGACTGATACATAACTTACAACAATATTATAATGGGATAGAGTGTTTTCAATATAGAGTCATTTTCAACCGTCTGTGAAACAATTACTACAAGTCAGTGTTTAATGGTAACTATTAGGGTGTAGTAGGCTACYAAAAGGCAAAATCAAAACCGTGTTTGCTTAATTAGCTTGTTGCAYGTCATAAGTTAAACTCTTGGGAGCTAATAGGKGGTAATAGCATTTAATAGTATACAATTCCTATTTCAGAGACGAATGAAAATGGCTCTATCAATGAAATGCTTTGCAAATTAGGCAAATTAGTGTGAAATCTTKTGTATCTTGCAGTTTAATTAGTGCAAGAATTTCTGACGAAATATATTTAAAGCACTCTATGAAGATAATTTACCAAGTACGATTTTTCTTTTAAACTCAATCTTTTTTTAAGTAAAGCAACTGTTTAATGAAAACAGAGAGAAAGTGCTTAAAACACGATTTAATTCAYAATGAAAAAAGTACGCAAATTTTCCCAGTTTGGTAAAAATTATTAATTTACATATATATTTCGGTATTTACATTTCTCCTAATTTTTATCAATTATGAAATTGTCCAATTCAAGTTTGATTGTCTTGTGTGGGTAAAGAGCTCGTTGACGTTTCAAAGAGTGTGTCCATTGCACCTAACAGTTCAAATGCTTCYTTGGAAAACCTTACTTCACGACACACTGAATTTCTCAGCTTGAAGAATAACCTATCGATTTCTTTGGACTGGCCTAATATGGGGATATACATATCTGTACAGAAAAAAATAAAAAAAGTCAGAACAACAAGTCGTAATAAATGTATAGGTTGGAAATGTATCTCCAAGTGAAGGACAAAACAATGGATTCAAGTTTCGAGAAGAGCAAAAATCTTTTGTTTCGTCCTCTAGATGAAGCTGCTTTGACGTCACATGCTCAAAATGTTGTACGAAGGGTTAATTAGAGGATATTACATAGTCCGTGGCTATCGTAACGCCATATATTATGAGTTGTACAATATACAGTAGCATTACTACTCGTTGGAAGAAAATATTAGCATGAGTTAGATCTGAAAGTTTCATAACTTATACATTCAGGACCAGAAATTAAAGGTTGTTAAATTGGAAACGTTTGAGTGAAAATCAGTACTGAGGCCTAACCAGCCTCGTTTTTCGCACGTTTCAAATGCTCGTAGCTCTGTCGATATTCCACATTAAAAAAAATAAAACTCTTCCAGTTTGCTAGTTTAGATTATACTGTTTCTAATAGGGTAAACTGTTTTTTAAAAATCTGGATAGTTTAAGGTGCTCATTTCCAGTCTTCTGTTCGTTTTTCATGTGGTCAATGAGTTCAAAGAAATTGATGTTCTCGCATTCAGACTGTTATCTTACCTAGTAACATGTTTGCCACATCTAATAGAACTCTTGAATATCTGGGGTTAGGGATGTTTCTGAAATAACATGAAATTTAGTGTATAAAGTAATGTAGTGCATCGATAAAATACAAATCCAGACGATAGTCTGCATTCAGTCTAGTACCATGAAATGTTTTGTAAACGAATTTAGTGCAAAAATCCTTTGTTTTGTGTAGGCTCGTTAACACTGCCGATTTTTGCGGTCATTTTAATCCAAGAGAATAATGCCAAGAACTAACTTGTAAACGTTTATTCAATACACTAAGGATGAGCTAGCTAAACGTCTCCTCAGAAAGATAAGACAAATTCTATTATATTTTGGAAACTCGCCTGAAAAATTACAGCAGAAATGGCCGGAAAAATTGCTAGGGTAAACGGGCCTTATTGTTTAGTTAGTGCAATATTTCTAGCAAAGCGTTTCACGGAAATAATGAATGCACTCAAGCAGTTTTCAAAATTGGGCAAACTTCTTCCACGAAGCAAAACGTGGTTCAGTTCTCATTYTCACTTTTTGCATAAACTTTGTTGCCAGGCGCTCATTTTTTCGAAGCACATCCAGCTTTTCTTGCGACACTTTATAGCGTAAATGTGTTGACAGATATCCTTGGCATGCCGTTTTAGAAGCCTTTTATGTAGTTATTAACTGAATGCGCCCTATTACAGATTGCCAAAAAATAAATAAAACTAAGGTCATATTGTTGTATTGTTTCTTGTTTGTAAAAATTATAGTGTATATGCTCTGTATACCCCCCCCCCCCCCCCCCCCCGTCATTGTATTGCATTGTTATATTTTTATATATTAATGTATTTGTATGTTATTTCTTTGGGTAATGCTGGAAAGCTTGAGTTGTCAGCCTTGCAGCGACCTTAGAAGAAATATTTTGCTCTTGGCTCCCTTTTGACTCTTTACTAGTACAGACTACCAAYAAGAGCTTCGACAGGGCCTTTCCTATCAGTGACAAGATGTTGTATCAATCACATGTCATACCTTATTAAGAAGGACAAGATAGGTGCCAGTCCCTTCTCATCTCGACCTGACAGAGCTCTTACTAGTCCTCCTCTTCGTATAAGTTCTTGTATAATAGAAACTACCACTGGAGGATGACTTGCCAATGGCTGCGTAATGTAATCATAAATTCTGTTAAAACCAAATTAGAGTAAAACTGTAATAGCCCCCCCTCCCCCCAAAAAAACACACACATTTTAAAGACATGCATATAAGCCTTTTACCCTCCAAAAAAACTGAATTGCCTTTCTTCTATTGTTTGAATTTTAACTCAAATTGTGGTAAACAAAAACGTCCTTGGAAAGCAGCCATGCCTTTGCATCCAAGTGAAATGATTGAGCGTGCAATGGTAGATACCTGAAAATAATCATCTAGATGTGAAACATTGCAGCCTCAATGATCAGTTTGATTTGATGCAAAGGCAAGGTACTTTTAAGATGGCGTAATGTATCAAAAAGGTTTTTACGTGACAAAAAGGTTACCCTCCAAAAAAACTGAATTGCCTTTCTTCTATTGTTTGAATTTTAACTCAAATTGTGGTAAACAAAAACGTCCTTGGAAAGCAGCCATGCCTTTGCATCCAAGTGAAATGATTGAGCGTGCAATGGTAGATACCTGAAAATAATCATCTAGATGTGAAACATTGCAGCCTCAATGATCAGTTTGATTTGATGCAAAGGCAAGGTACTTTTAAGATGGCGTAAGGAACTGTAAGGAGACTATATGCGCTATTGTCAATCAAACTCATTAGGCAATACTTATAAAGAAACATAAAAGCTACTATAAATTTCMATAATTTTACTTCACTTTTGAGATAAAAATTCTGTAAATTCAGTGATTTCTTTTGTTTAGAAAATCTCAAATCAAGAAAATAGACTTGCTCATCTTGAAATCATCATCAGGATGATGACTAGAGAATTAGATCCATATGAAATTTTTGAAAAGTCATCTCAGATCAGATTTACACAGAATTATCTTCCTTTAGCACTGAATTTTTTTTTGCAATTGCTGGAAGTATTGGCAGTGTTAGTTCTTTGGGTAATGCTGAAAGGTGTAGCAAACGAACCAATCAGCGACCTTAAAAGAACAATTTCATGTTGGCTCCTCTTTGACTCATTCATGATATAGTTGACCAAGATGAGCTTCGAAAGGGCCTGTAATGGCAGAACTACATACAGAGTATTTTTTACATAATTTTAAAACGAAAAAAGACAATTTTACTGTACCTTTAATATTTCATCCAATACCAGGCTGTATTCAAAGTTTTTCATGAGTTTGTCATACTTTCCTAAATTTGTTTTTTTCTTCTCTGAAACCACATAATCATCCTAAAAAGAGATTGATCACAAAAATATTTAGAAAAAGAGATACTGTATCTTTACAATGTCAAAGCAATTTCATCTGGAGTTCAAACAACAGAATTTAATTAATTGCTTTCTTGGGATCTGGAATCCACTGTTTTGTGTCAAACATAAGGGTAGTACTAAATTAAAATCTTCATGTGTCCCACATAGAGTGTTAAAACAAACAAACAATTTTGTGTATTAAATATTTTATAATTTTATAAAATTTTATGTACCATTGTCTATTTCACAGTATAAACAGGGATTCTGTCATGCGTTTTTTTCTGCATAATCATCCCTGAATATCCTGCATAATTTTGATTTTTTTTTTCGCTCATAATGCCAGAATCTCTGTTAATATATATCAGTTATTATTTCCCATTGATTTTCAATTTCAGTTCGACAAGTGCCTTTCGTCATTTCATCCAACAACCTTTTTGGAAACTGTAGGCATGCATGTTCTCTTTGAAATTCTAAYAAAAGTACCTTTTGAGGTGTGAAATTTGCACCTCTCATGAAGTACTTGTAGCTTCCAGGTCTATAGGTAGTTGTTGCTTTCAATGTTTCAGCACCTTTTCTAGTCTCACGATATTTGATTGACAGTAGTCCGTCAGACATACCCACAACGAGATGTGTATCATCAGGCTGAAAAGACAAAAATTAAAAAAATCAATAACCTCCAAAAATCAATAATAATTAAGTTAAAAAAATAATGAAGTGACAAAAACAATATGAAACATAAACATTTAATGCTATTTATTTGTTACATACAAGACAGTACAGCTTTTGACATCATTGTAAACTTATGACCTGTCTATGTCAGGTAAAACTTAGCTTTAAAATAAAACATTTAAAAAACAAACTCAGGCAATTGTTTGATAGGGTTCTATTATTATTGCTCAGCTCTGCCTATTAATACCATGTCTTTCAATATACAACAAATTGAAGAGATGTTGTCAGGTCCTGAAAAGTTGACATCATCAAATCTAAGACCTCAAGGGATCATGGTTACTCGGAAATTCAGATCATATTTGCCTAAACATGTTACATTATACTGTTCATTACTCATAMAGAAGGATGTATTAGTCAAGTGCAGGCAATCCTTTATCACCGAAASAATGTTATGTTCATAACATTTGCTTTCGCATGCTCCCTTTTGGTCTTACTGTACTGTTGATGTAACATTTTGGGACGACTAATTTTCAGTGAGGTGCATACACCTAATTGCAGAAACGTTGTCATAGAAAATAGAACATTTGAATTTAGTAAAAAGGAATAAATTAAAACAAGACAAAAGAGAGCGTTCAGGGCTCAGCGATCTTCTTTTGTCTTTTTTAATTTATTCCTTTTTACTAAATTACAAATGTCCTATTTTTTATGACTACGTTTTCGCAAGTAGGTGTACATCAATAAATACAGGAGCACAAAAGAATTGTGAAAGTTAYAGGAAGCATAGATCTATACTCACAGAAACTGCTAAACTAAGAATGGSTGATGAATAGTCCATACTATGTACAACTTTATAGTCTTGTAAATCATATATCTTWACATTTCTAGAAAATACAAATAAAATATTCAATATGTAAATAACAAGCCATACATGACTTTCAAATATGGCGGTAGATCACAACTACCAATATCAGGGGACTAGTGACGAATCATGGAAACAAGACATCCAAGGTTTTATAATATCAAAAATCACTACGAAGAACGCATATACTGTATGTAGTGCCCAAACGTTTGACAAAACATAACTCTTGCAAGACACCATTGAAGCTTAATATACGGAGGCTGGCCTTTGAGACCTCCTTTTAGTGCTTCATCCTCAGTGACCTGGTCAGTGACCATGACATATGTCTTATCTTTATGCTTTCAAAATTATTAAAACTAACTACACCACATGTACAGTATCATGTATTCATGCAGTCATTTTAAAATGAACAAATTTCCTCTAAAAATCCAAGAGAGTTAGCTGTATTAGTGTCTGTGAATCAAGACTTGACTACAAAATATGGTATTAGCATAATTTATACTAATTAGTTCTGAATAGGAAAACTGTACATGTACATGTTGCAGAATGGCTAGACATCTTACGAGTTTCTGATGCTACTTTATAAATCAAAGTTGGAAAGAAAGGGTGTTCTTATAATACACTGAGTTTGTATCTAAATGACTTTCTGCATGTGTCTACCCTCCCATCCCTATCTGTCAATCAGGTGTACTTACTTATCAAGAGATCCAGATAGTAATCTTTTCAGTTCTCCATCAAAGCACAATGAAGTAACTGTCTTCTGATGATTTGAAAACTCTGTGATCAGCCTTCCTCCACCAAGAACATCCCAAACTTTCACATAATTACTGCCTAGAAAATACACATTAGGTAAAAAATTAGCTACATTGTATCTACATGTACGTAAAATAAAAATAAATGTAAAATAAATATACAGTTGTGTTTATAATATGCATGTACCATATTCTACCATGCTCCAGTTTTGAGATTATATTTAAGCACCCTTAACCTTGAAAGCATATTTATAATCATAATATTCTTTTTTTCAGTGAAAACCCTATTGCAATGTAATTCAAACTCTATGTCACTGCAAAGAGACAGTGAAACTGGAGGTTGCTACAAGATCATAATGATACAAAAATTCAGGATGCCARAGGGTTGTTCCAGGGCTTCCAAACCCTCTTCCTTTTCAGACAAAGTCTTTGAAATATGACACTTTATTTTTCTAAATAACATATTTCTGGACACTCCTAACAGTTTGTTTGTGTGAATCAAAAAAAACATATCATTTGACTGTACAATTTTCAAATGCCTTCTTGCTATGTACTGCAAGTCTTGAAATCACAAAACAAAGCTTATCCCCCCTTCACCTCCCCTTCTCGAAACTCCTGCACACGCCCCTAGGATTAGCAAATTAACAACAAACTCATCCAGACAGCCAACCACGGTTAAAACTGGAAATAGAAAGGAAACCAGGTTGCTATGTATTTTATCAGGACAAGAAATGTTATTATATTTATGTTATTTCTTTGGGTAATGCTGGAAAGCTTGAGTTGTCAGCCTTACAGCGACCTTAGAAGAAATACTTTATTCTTGGCTCCCTTTTGACTCTTTAATAGTACAGACTACCAACAAGAGCTTCGACAGGGCCTTTTATATTAAATGACGTAAAATAATCCATTATTAATGTTATTGGTTAAAAACGTTAGTAGGAAACTTCACAATAATCTATTTGAGTACGAACAATAAAAGCATGAAAAAAATAATTCATTAAATGGTCATGGAAGAACGACTCTATACTGTACACACTAATATGCAGTGAAGCAGATTTCATATCGCTGTCCAAATGCAGGTAACATCGTCGTGTACGGGAAACCTCAGGGGAGTTTATTGTAATGTTAATTTGCCGTATGCAAATTAATTCCAACAAATATTTGTGTACACTTCGTTCTTATATATTAATTATTTAGTGAAATGTTAATGAGAAATTGTTTAAATACTAGAAAAAAAGGAGTGCAACCAAGCGAATTCACTCGTGGCTTAACCGGTTAGGTTTAGGGTTAATAATCGGATAAGTCATATTTAGGTTCGAATCTTATCTACCGGATCAATTTTTTTTATAAGTGAGGAGAACCAAAATCCCACTAAAGTCCCACCAAAGTCCCACTCGTGTGTTCGGAAACCTATGATGTATTTGGTTACACGGTGCACGACGATAGTACCCAAATGCATCTGTTGTAGCTTACCTGCTGAGATACACATTGCACCACTTGGATACATTTTGACACACTCAACAGGAGCTCCATGGTCAAGAGTGATAACTGATTTATCGCTGCGTTTATCCCACATTCGAACAGTGTGATCATATGAACCTAAAACCACAACAAATCAAAGCTGAAATCTACATGCACCAAGCTAAGGTGCAAACAAATTGATAAACTGTTTTCAGTTCTGATTGTGATGTTTTCCATCTGTCACATGAGGTACATGTACAGTAAAAACCGCAAAATAGGTGTTCTTATACGTGGGTTTTTACTGTTGTATTGTATTACATAGCAGGTTATTAACTAACACTTCCAAGAATAGTACTTCATAGATCTGTTTTTTCCTTACCAGTTAGAAATACATCTTCACTTATTTGACTAACATCACCAGTTCTTATGTAATCCTAAAGTCAACCATAAAAAAACAGTAAACAATGATTTTAATTGGGCAAAGTTACACCTGAACAACATTAATGGGATTTACTATGTACAGTAAGAATTGTACTGCATCATCTAACTTCGTGGTATATATTTCTTTTATTACAGTATATTGATATTGCCGGCTCAATGATTACTCAGCTGTGTGAATGAATCATGTAAAAAATTTGTACGAGGAGAAGTTTTTTTAAATAAAAAATTGTGGCGGTTGAAGCCTGTCCACTCCCTGTTGTTCTAAATTGTATGACTACAGTGTATAGGATTATTATGTTTTTTTTAAGAAAAATGTGAAATGAGTTGAAAAACGCAAAAACAACCCTTATAATCCTATCAATACTAGTGCTTAGAAGGAGGCAATTCCGGGAGAAAGACCCTTAGGAATAAATTTGGAAAAATTAATTTCCGACCTCGCTGGGATTCGAATCCAGTCATAGTGTCATGTGGTCCTTATATTCCTATCAATAACTAGCCCAAATTTGTCCAAATTCACTTCATCTTTTACTTATTTTTTAATAATAATTAAAAAAAATTAAAAAGGATTATTAGAAATTAAAGGAACAAGAAATCCTCATAATGGCCTACTGTACCTCGTGTTCTTTAAAGGACACTTTTTCTTGTTCAGTTGATATATCCCAACACTTTATTGTTTTGTCATCACAAGCAGACATTATTGTTAAATTATCATGGAGAAATTTAGTCACATGGACAGCACTAAGAAGGCAAAACAAAACATTGTTCATATACGAATACATGACCAAATTACATTGACAACTTGGAAAAACTGTCTGTGAATACATGTAGCCCTTTTGCATAAAGCTGTGAAATTGTACTAGATCCGCCATACTAGATGGCAAAATACYCACAGGGATGTTCAAAACAGAGAAAAGTCAAGCTTGAAGGGACTGTGTTCCATTGTTTTTGAGGTTGTTTACATTCAACTGCCATTCAGTATGGCGGATTTAGTATCATGTGACCGTTTCATGCAAAAGGCCTATTAAAGACATAAGCTGTGTACAACGTTTACTTACTCGTTATGACCTTTAAACTGCCTTAATACGGCTCTACTGTTCAGATCAAACAACTGTAAACAAAAAGACCATTGTGTAAATTTGAATATTATTGTGATACAGCAAATAGATTTTCTTTACTCCACACTATGTACACAATTCAAGGTATCAGTTTTCAGTAAAAA